GTGCCATCACTTGCTTCCCTTACCGCAATCGGAGAATCTGGTGAAAAAAAATTCCCTGGCATGGTTTGAGTAAGCCACCCTGGTTGTGTTCACACGATCCACTAAGCCAAAGTAAAACAAATTAGACTTGCCATTAGTACAATGTGTAAACCCTATCACAGAATTTGAGGAAATGAAGTTTTTGGTTCCCTCTGTTTGTTCCCTTTTGGGATGAAACATCAAGACATGCCCTGAGAGTTATATTCAGATATGTCAAATTACAGAGAAATAACAGCTTCTTCAATCAATCATTCCCTTTGGGAAAACAGGGAATTACCTCTCTTTTCCACCATCAATCCCAAATGGCTCATGCCTATATCCTTTGGCTGCCACTAAACTGGGTTCTGATGTAGGCTATACCTGCTGGTGTCTCCTAAGTGAAGAAGAGCTGGCATCTTGGAAGCACTGGTATAGAACGGTGAATCAGGGATGAAGCTTGACAAATACACAACATGTGAATGGTGTTTAGAGCAAACATTTGCATTCACCGAGCAAAGAATGGACACTGTTGGATGAATAAGGGCTCTTCCTGGATTCTGGTCTCACACTCTGAGAATTTTAGACAAAAGTAAAATTCTGAAACTGTGGAGAAGATCAAGCAAGTGCATTGACAGTAAGATCTAGCAGTCAAAAGTGTTGGATTGCATCAGGAAGACCCAGATTCAAGTCCCCACTTGACTAGGAAGCTCACTGGATCATTACCTCTCAACTAGCCAGTTTGATCTAGAGGTTAAGGCTCCAGGCTAGAAACCAGGAGACGGTGAGTCCTAGTCCCACCTTAGACATGAAAGCTGGCTGGGTGACTTTGGGCCAGTCTCTCTCTCTCAGCCCAGCTCACCTCACAGGGTTGTTGTTGTGGGGAAAATAGGAGGAGGAGGAGGAGTATTAGGTATGTTTGCTGCCTTGAGTAATTTATAAAAATAATAAAAGTGGGATAAAAAATCTAAAAACAAAACAAAACCCCAGCCTACAGGACTGTGATGATCAATTGAGGTGGGAGCTTCATGCAAGCCACCTTGAGCTCAAATGGAAGGGTGGGATAGGATACTGTAAATACATCTCACTACCATATAAATACTATAAAACCTGCAAACAAAGCAGCCAACTAAACAGGAGGGAAATGCAGACACCAATTACTGGAACATTCAGCAGGCAAGCAGTGACCCACATCACATGCAAACTTGCAACAGTTGGCTGGTTTTTTTTTCAAGATGGCATCTGGCGGAGTGTGTGTGTTAATGGAAGGTTAACGGCTGACTACTGTCTTTCTTGATACTGTGGTGTTCCTCTTTTTAATCTGTGAGCTGCTTAGAGCCACTCTGGAGTTAGGTGGCCCTAGAAATGTGTTTTTAAATAAATAGATAGATAGATAGATAGATAGATAGATAGATAGATAGATAGATAAATAAATAAATAAATAAGATTTTAGCCATTTTAACTGTATGCATGTGTGTGTGAGAGAGACATATATAAGGGAATACAAAGTGCTAATGCCTGGCATAAGTACACAGGCCAGATGAGAAGCAAGAAGCAATCAGACCTCAGCCTGGCCAGAGATGACAGGAAGACAAGCACCCAGGAGAAACAATGGTTCCTCACACACCACTTTCCACATCCTAAACAAAGGAAGCTGGAGATTTTCAGTTTTCCTCAACTCTGAAAAGCTGAAGTAGAGAAGAAACTACAGGGAAGGTCTCAGATGACAGAACAGACAACACGAATATTGTTCAATGTCAATAAAACTAGTTTTATGCAGGTTTTTCCTTTGTGAAGCCATTAAACTACATCTCTGGGTAAAGGGGAACACACACACACACAATGACAATCCACTGCTAGAAGGGTTGAGGAACATGTCATAACCTACACACCAGGAATCCTTACAGCTGCAGCTGCATTGCTGTTTGTGTAGTAACTATGAACCAAGCACTTTTGTTGCTATTTCACATGCTGGGAACTAGAAAGTAAATACATGCTTGCAGGTGCTCCATCTGAAAGTCTCTTTGATCGCAAAGCTCCAGGCCAACAATCATTCTGGAACCTCGGAACATTCCGATATATATGAAAGGATTCTAAAACAGCTGACGGAAAATGCTCTACTCACTGGTTGCTCAGCTTTATTCTGTTGTTGGCGTTTAAGACTGCTGCTTTGAGCAACACTGGGTGCATGAACAACTTTGGAACGCAGCACAAATAATTCAAGACAGCAAAGATGAAGCAGAGAAACAGCATTAATTCTAGAGTTCAGGACTTTCAGATTTTTCCAGCTGTTGCCATGATGGCTGGGGATTCTAGGAGTTGTCACCCCAACATTTCTGAAGAGTGTCAGGTTGGGAAAGGCTGACCCAGAACTTTCAAAAGAGATGCTGCTTCCAAAACCTCTAGTTAGTATAACCATGCTGTTCGTTGGGAGCAATGGGGGGGGGGTATGGAAAATAGCATAAATGAAGCTGTGAGGAACTCAGCTGGCGTGTTCCAAAGAGAGGCAGTTCAGCAAAATAGACAGCTGGTGAGGGGGAGGTTAGAGTAGCCCAGGAAAAGGTGATCAAGGGCAAGGAGAAAGGCTAGAACAAGCTATGGACAGCTCGGGAAAAGAACTGGAGAGCAATTGGACAGTGGAATGAAAGTTAAGTGAAGAATAACCAGGAGAAGTTAAATATTATACCATGTTCTTGCACCTATGAAACATGGCATTGGCAACTCTGGTTATTCAGGGATCACGTCTCGCATACTGTCTGTGGCCTACAGTACTAGTTTACACATTTTCTTAGAAGCAGAACGCACACAGGAACCCATTCCCCTTTGGTAAGATTGCCACTGGCCACACTCTTCCCATGAAGTCAGTGCTTGTCCTCCATTGGAGGACATTGGAGGACATGATGGTAGAACAGCAGACATCTAATCTCAGTGACCTATTAGAAACATGACAGCAGAACCCAGATGCAGGCCAATTTTTACAGATGCCTTGAGCCCACCCCTGGAGGGAGCTACATCAATTCTGACTTGAAAGTACATTCATACAAAGAAGAGAAGGAAGAGGTGGCTTTCTAAAGATGTTTATTCTGCCCCCCCCCCAGCTTCTCCAAGCTTTAAGAATACCCTATTTAGTGCAGTGTTTCATGCTGACCTCCAATTCTTCAACTATGATTCAGTTGGGTAGTAACTAGGGACCCCCCATATATTTCTCACAAAAATACAATCACAGGGCCTGAAAACTAGAGAGAAAATATACTGAAAGATACGCACTAAGCAGAATTTCAGACTACTGTCAATCAAAAGTAAAGAAACATTTGTAATATAATGTTCTCTGTGTATCCAACCAAAGCATTTTTGGGGGCACTCAGAAATCCAGCTGTGTGTGTTGGCACCGGCCTATCTTAGAAGCATTTTCAGAAAGATCTGACTATAGCAAAAAAAGGAAAAGTCTCAATTTTTTGTCCTCATTCCCATCCCCACTCCAAAGAAACACTGTGTTACCACATGATTGTACAAGGATGTTGTGCAGGTTACTCTAGCCCCATACAGACTATCTTTGGGCTGATCCATGGCTTTCCTTCAAAAAAGGTCCTTGTAAATATCAGCTCTGAAGTTTCCATCTATACAGGAGAGCTCTTATGATCAAGGGTTTTCTCACTCTTAGCGGGGACTGATGTATAGTTAGCAAGAATATCCTACAGAAAGAGTGGGCCTTTAGAAGCAGGCAAAATAGGTTGGCATTCATGGCCAAACAGGACTAGATTAGCAATAGAGTACCTCTTCTTTACAACGTCCCCCTCCTCCCTCACTCTAAACTTCCCTCCTATTTTAGCATCTGTGATGTTTGAGTGCATGCCACAGGTCCAACATTTCTCTATAAAGGCTACCTCTATAATCTTGTAACGAAAGCGTTCATTCCCCTTTCATGGCTGGCTATCAGTATCTGTCCATCTTCATCCCCCACAACATTCATTAACATGTATCTTAAATATACAGGGAGTTTCCTTGCAATAACACTGTAATTGTATTTCTTCTGTTTTCAAGTGCTTTTCCTGAATTGCATGATCTAACGCAGGGCTGGCTTACTAGAACGCAGTGGTCTGTAGATGTAGCACTAAAGGAACGTATATTATGACTTGCAATGTCACAGAAGATGCTGGAAAACACTTCTCTGCTCGTGTAGAACTACAGGCTACCTAAAAGATGCTCCCAGCATTCTCCATGGCATGGAGAAGGATGTCAAAGGCTCTTCCCTGACTAGGAATGCAGCAGGTTGAAGGTGGCCAGGCACACCACACAGAAGCCTGCTTAGCACAATGGGTGCATTGAAATGCACAACTCTTCTCCTTCTTTTCCTATTCCTTTCTTTCCAGGTACACCTTGAGCAGATCATATTGTCCAGATAGCAGTGAGCCAAAAAGATGAGACAATGGAGGTCACGCAACCCCCCTCTGAATTCTCTCCCCCAATTCTCTGCTGTGTCCTCAGCTCTTGCCATTAAATAAGCAAATAATCCAACTGCAGTAAATATCTATGCCCATAAAAATGACACCCCCTTCAAAAAACAAGATGGCCTAATTGAGCCAAAGCAACTAAATTGATACCAGTTTTTGGATTTCATTTTGCGGCCAAAATCACAATGTGGAAGGCTTGTGTGGAGTGGGTGAGGATGGAGCCTTTGGGTTTCTTGAATGCAGGCCTTGGGTGTGTTGTTGTATACACAACATGAGACCTTTGGACTTGGGCAAATCAAGGCACCTTTGAACTGAACCCGGGGACTTACACAGACACATTCGTGCACTTTACTTGGCAACAGTAAAAGGTGATTTACAGTTGCTTTATTCCCAGGATATTTTTCCCCCTACTTCCCAGCCTAATCAATAGCCCCCCAAACGTTAGCAAGGGCAGACTCTGCTTAACTTTCTGGACAGCCAAGCTTCCTGCCTTACGTGAAACCTTTCACCCCCTAGCAGGAAGGAACTCCTTACCCTGCTACACCTTTCAGTCTCCGATGAAACTCCCGGATGCCTCTGTTGAGCTTTAGTTTCACGAGGTAGGTAGGAGACTGGGCCGTAAGGAAGACGGATGAGTTGGGTGACCTACAGGAGAGATCCTGTTTATCAGGGACCTGGGCTCCACTGGAGTTGCTGGAATTGTTGGGCAGAAAAGTCTCATCATCCTCTGTGACGTCTCCCTCGGGAATACTGGGCAGATTCTGGCTTTTCTCCACAGCCATAGCCCAGCCCAGTCTTTGGGGTAAAGTTTCAGCAGGTCACAGGGCTGGCCTCTCAGACAGGCCAGTCACAGGAGGGTCCCCAACTATGGGTCATCATGTAGTCAGATCAGAAAAGGACAGAATGGAAATGCTGCTGGTTGCTTTGGAGCCCAGCTGGAGCATCGGCATAGGTCAGCCCCGTTGCGGAGTTCCCTTGCCCTTCCTGTTTGTCTTGATGGACAGGAGACTCTGGGGAGGAACCACACTTCTCCTTTCCAGCTCTTTTGAGAGCCACAGTCAGCTTGGAGCAGCAATGACAAGAGGGAGCATTGCAGCCACTCTGATGGATGCAGTGATTTTCCCCCCCACTTCACAGCTGGGGGAGGGGAACAAGAAGCCACGACCACAACTGTAGGCTTTTGAGCCTCTGACGGCAGAGTTTTCTTCTTTGTTGTCTTCTGAATCCAGGTTGCCTCACATGTTCCTTCCTCCTCCAGCCTCTCAAAGGAAAAATTTGCTTTGTTCAGCAATGCAGGGCTGCCTCAGCCTTCGTCTCCCTGAGTGAATGAAAAGAAGTTCCCCAAAAATAGAGAGATCCAGTCGTCCTGCACAAGAGAGTTACAAATGTCCCAGCAGCAGCAGCAGCAGCAGCAGCAGCAGCAGCAGCAGCAGCAGCAGCAGCAGCCTAGAACAGTCAAAGGCAGAAAGAGCTGGCCATGTGGGTTGGTGCCAAACTCCCCTTCTTTGGTATGTGTCACTTCAACTAATCGCTAACGCTTATCTTGATCTGGCCCTCCCAGCACAATCTGCCAGCCAGCCATGCAAGGGCTGGCAGCAACTGACAGGGCAAGACGGTGCTTTCCTCCTCCAACTCTTTAGCCCAGAGATGGTCAGCTTGGATCCCCTAGCTGTGTGTATCAAATACATTCAGAGCATTATCCAGAAGTGGCAGGAGTTTGATTTCTCTGTTCCAAGTGGCAACAGCATGAGAAAAGGTCAAACCTTAGTTTGACTGCAAGGACCATGGGAACAGGAATAGCTTTGCCATTAATTCACATTCATGCTAAGGTGCAGTCAGACCTCACAAACTTGTTTGTATTCTGTCATGTGCAGTATGTCGTCTGTCTCTCCGAATGCAGTTCCATGCATAAGTACTGGGGGATCATGATATATAAATCCAGTTAATGCTTATCAAGGGCTTTCAAGACTGAGCTCTCTAGAAATGCCACATCAATAACTCAAATCTTCCAAGAGTAAGAATAGGAGAATAATTAGGGCTTGGGTCACACTTTATACTATGCACATTTTAACCATGATTTAGTGAATAAACCATAGTTGGCTGGATTTAAACAACAGACTAATCCATAAAATGTCATTTACAAACTACAATGGCTGGATTCACATGACATACTCAACCTTAACCAAATTCACTCATTCTGGTTTAGTGCAATCTGCAAAGAAACCTATCAATGCAATCCTGAAAAAGACAAATCCATGCTGAATCGAGTGCTTTCAGGGTGCTTAGCTCTTGCTAATTTCAATAGGACTGCAAGGGGTAGCTAACATTTCCATTCCATTCACTTGAACTTTGGCCTCAGGTTTTTAAATCATTAGGTTACTCTGTTTTTATTTTTGCTTTTGTTTTTACCTGATTGCTTGAGTCCAGAATCACTTCCAGCGTGGAACATGTAATATTTATGCTAGGATATTGGACTGTTTCCTCTTTATGACATCACATGTTGCTATTGTGAGTCCATGGTGCTGTCACTAATCTTCAGAGAGCTGTTGAAGCAACAGGCTTGATACCAGAAAGGGCCGGGGAAAGTAACACAAGAAGATTCCTGGAGTGGGCTTGACTGGAGATGTGGTATACCCATATAAGAGTAAAATTGTCTCATGCTCTAAAGATCTTTTTGTACACAAAATCTGTTTGTGTACTATTATGAAACCCCCCCCACACGTTATTGGGACTGGTGATGGTGTCAGGTAAGATAACTGGTCTGGCTCAGTTTCCATTTGTTCTAACTTCCCTATGACAGAACAGAACATTGTCTTTAAGATACCGAGAAATCTTAATTAGATCTTGCAAAAAGCTTTTGCGCAACTCCAAAAGCTATATATTCTTCTTTCATGTGAGTCACCTGGTTATCCAAAAACCTATTTGATAACTCTTGATCTCTGAGGCAAGCACAGCAATGGCTACAAATTGTAGGGTAGGCAAACCATCTAACCAGAGGGATATGCAAACGTTTTGGGAGAGAGACACAGGGAAACATTCAGAGCAGGTCGGGTGCATGCTCACAAAACAGCTGCCATTGGAAATTGGTCAGTTCACAAAATGGCTGCCACGGTGGGCATCGCCTGTCACAAAACAGTCCTTTACCAGAAGTGATCCCAGGATGTTCTTCACCATATCAGTGGAACCGAAAGGCATCGCTGCAAATAAATGCAATACTGGACTAGATCTCCTCTCTTTTGTAGCATGGCAACTAATTTTTTTTTAATTAAAAGATTCTTTAAAAATTGTAAAGGGGCAGGAGACTCGGCAGGCACTAAGGGAGTTTCAGATTGGGCAGATAACAACTTTCAATCTGCTACTGCGAAGTGCTGAAAGCAAAACGGTTGATTCTACTCCAACCACAAGCCTGAATTATGATAATACAGAGATAACAAGGCCTGGCAACCAACTTTATTTTCTTTAGCAATTCCTTCCTTCCTTTTCTCCTTCAGATTTCTTAACATGTAACTTAATTTCACACTGAGAACCATTAATAAAAATAAAAAAAGTTCTCACTTTGATCTCTTAATAAATCCAGACAGTTAAATTATGGGCTCAGAGAAACCAACCAGCAAACAGGGCCCATTTGGCTGTTAGCAAGGATTTGTTTGTTAATTTCTTTGTTACATTTCTGTTTCCTCCAAAAGCGACCCGGTGGGGTATGCTGGGCTGAGAGACACTGGCTGGCCCAAGATCCCACAGCCAGCTTCCATGGCTGAGGGCAGACTTGGACCTGGTTCTTCCCACTCCTAGTTCAACACCTTCACCACCACACTATAGTAACCAGTAATCTTAGGTTCAATCCCAGCCCATAAAATGGAGTGACCTGCTTTTATGATTTCTGTGCTTTTAATGCTTATTTGATATGCAGAAGTTTTAACCATTATCACAGTAGTGCAACTGCCTGCTGAATTTCTGCCTGCCTTCTAACAGTTCTGAAACATTTGGAAGTTTAGTGAGCGAGGACTAGGAGAGAGGGCTCTTGCTCCACCACTGAAGACCATGTTCCCTTCAAGCCCTGAAGAGAGACATTTCCACGTGCCATGATCAAAAATGCTTTCCTGCGGTTCCCAGAATTGAAATGCACGGCGTGGTTCTCTGCTGCCACCTATTGCAGCAATCACAGAGCTAAAGCTATTTTCCTCAGCTGAATGTCCTAGGAGTCCCAGAATTCCGGATTGTGGCTGCAAATTCTGGACGATGTATTCTAGCAGGCCAGAAGAACATCACATTGGGAAAGGCTATAAAAGGGAAGGTGGTAAAATGAAAATCATACTTGCCAGTTAGTAACCTGTACAGATGTCCCACACCATGTACACCAGTCCCAGGGAATGGCAGGTTAAGTGTCTTTTTTTTTTTTTTTTTGCATTTTTACACTGACCAAGGCAGCTGTTCCCATGGCAGAGGACTTGTTACTATTTGATTCTGCCCCAGAGTTATCAGAAGCCTGCATGTTTCTGTGACACGTCAGTACAACAGTTGGGTTTGTACACAGTGCTAAGGCGTAATGTGGTTTGATGGCTTTGGACTTAGTGTTATGTATGAACAAGACTGTTCAACAAAAAGAGAACAAACCATGGCTTTGTTCAATGTCTAAATCCAGTAATTCAAAGAGCAATAGCTGTTACGAATGTTTTTGTAATTCCTTTCCACTCAGAGAATTCTACAGAAAATAACTAGTATAAATATTTGTTAACAAACTACAGTACTTGCTTATGCTGTTCATGTTTATACTGCATATACAATCCTGCCATCTTGTGAGATAGGTTTGGTTGAGAGATGTTAATTGAACCCAAGCCATTCTATAAGTGTAGCGGCTGATCAGGGATTTCATTCTGAGACTGGCTGTAATGCAGAACTTTTGCATCACATGTCTGTGCACAACAAATAATGTTGTGGTATTGGCTCAGAGGAGAAAGAGACTGGGTTTACACATGGTAAGTCATAGTTTACTTAATTATGGTTTAATTTATGCAATTAGCCCAGTTCACACCATATGCTAAGCCCAAACTGAACACATCAGATTTACGCATTGAATTGATTACAAAAATCTCTGTACCATTCTAGTGCAAGTTATATGAATTCAGCCAGCGAGCAAGGGGAATTTATTTCTCAAGTTTTCATAACTCTGCAAAGTATACAGAGTGAAGACTTATACCCACTGCTTTTCAGGGGCAGCACCTACATTATTGAATAGCTTCCCCTTGAAAATCAGGCTGACTCCAACATAGTTAGCCTTCCAAAAATTACTGCAAACTATAGTTTTTGAGGGCTTATGGTAACTGATGGGAGACCTACAATTGACCAATATTGAGTTACTGTGTTTTTAATGGTTTGTTTTAGTTCTCATCATGCACATTTCATTAGGACTTGCTTTTGTTTTATGTTCTTAATTACTGTAAACTGAAGAGAGTCTGGCTTATTGTGGTGGTTGTAAATCTGATAACTAAATAAAGAATTCTTAAATTTACAAACATTTTATAGCTACAGAGATGGGTCTGTCAGACGCATCAATATGAGAACCATTAATCTGAAATGTATCAATAGGAGTATCACTAGGGGAAGAGGAGAAGCTGATTTGCAGTTTGGGCAGAAGCAGCCAAACAACCTTTGCTCTTTTGCAGGGACAAAGTAATCTTACAGAATATAACTGATAGACTTTTATTTCTATCATCTTAGGGTTGGGCAAAAAGAAAAATGGGATCTGTTGATAGATTTCTGGGTGATCAGCAGCAGATCAACAAGAGCATAGTGATGGTGATTTGCTGATGCTAAGTATTTTAGACATACATCTGTGTCTATAACTCCCCACCACCACCACTTTAAGTCCTGCTGGGTTGCCTCATTGTGACGGTGGGGCAGTTGTTCCTGAGAGGGATGAGTGAGAAATGTTGGAAGTGTACACCAAGAATATATAAGGTACTCCCAGCAAGGTCATCCAAGGCATGAAGGTCATCCTGACTGTCCAGCTAAAGCAAGCAGGCACCTATATTGGGCAGCAGTGATACAGGAAGATGCAGGAGGCAGATGATCCCTTTAGTGACAATGGAGAAGGCATCACTTCATAGTGCATGGGAGAAGTCAATGGCAAACCACTCCTGTGCTTTGCTAAAACAACCCCACACAGAAAGACAATATAAAATAATTGACAATATGGTGCCGGATGATGGGGCCCCGAGGTCTAATGCCACTTAACATGCTACTGTAGAGAGTAAGGGAGGTACCTTGGCAGAAATATGCAAGAACCACTACTTAAGCAAAGGAGGCTGAAGCCCTGGGAAACAAGATAATATCTGGAAGTGGCTCAGGCAGATGCCTCCCTGATTCACTGGAGCACTCCCACTGAAGGAGGGGAGTTACAACATAGTCAGACTTGCAAGATTCTCTTATTGTAGCCCATCTCAATAAAAATAGTTTTAGCCTTTCTGAGGAGTTGATCTCCTGGTCTGTTCTCTCTAAAGGGGCTGAC